AAACCTTTCATTACAGAGATTAGTCAAAATTAGAATGAAATAGTAGGATGTTAATCTTGTATAGTCCAGTTTCTACATCCTAAGTAGGATGCTAAACTGATGCTAAATTAAAAAAAATGAACTTATAAATAATTATCGTTTCCATATTTTGATAAACAAAATATGAAAAAGGTTTATTCACCTTGGTTTCTTGTAAGATTAATTACTGTTACACACTCATTTCAAACTACTCCTCTAAAGACAGTCAAGAGTTGGTGCTCTGTAACTTGCTTACCACCTGTTACCTTTAAAACGCATTAAATTAATAAACACATGAAATAAGGATACACGCCCCATAGTGTTAATGATAATCCTAAATAATTAACTTAAATTCCAAAGAGGTTAATCTAGATATATTCATTAACCATGAGTTGCACAACCATAATCCTTTCACTCCTGGACAAACCAAACTTCGATAAACAAAAAAAAAGTCAGAAATAATAAAACTTACTTAGTGGCAGAGCACGAAGCGAAGTTCTAGAGATGCGACCGAAATGTATATGTGTTCTTTGGGCTGCATAATGAAAAAAAGAAGTTGCACATGACTAAAATTCCTCACAGATTCAAAAAAGATCAAAAAATAAAATTCATTGTATTACTTTTAAAACCATGTTTTCCTCAAAAAAATTAAAAGAAAAGCCAATAGTATTCGCAAACCTTACATAAAATCACCAATTAATAAAAATATTAACCAACAAACCTTACATCAAATCACCGGTTAATAAAAATATCAACCAACTAAATGTCATCATCTCCCAATAAAAAATATCAACCGTATCTTAAAACATGTATCAAATTGATTCAGAAGAACACTCCAAATATGCTTATCAGAAATCAAACTAATGATATGTTGGGGATAGACCTATGATGCTACTTGATCCCTGCTATTCAAACATATTAAACATCGGTGGATTGGCATATGAATTAAGAATTGTAATTTGGCTAATACATAACATAAAAAGGAGGCCTGAAGATGCAGGTCCCCTTAAAAATTGTAATTCCATGGATGTCTTGCCATAACATATTCATTAAAACCTGAATGCAGAAAATGATACTTTACGGTCTTAATACTCATCGAATGAAACTGTATCAAAAGAATTCGGGAGAGTAGAAACAAAGAATTAGGATAATTAAAGCATCAAAATATGGATTAAATCCTCATATCATTTCTTTTGGTTTTCTTTCAACAAACCAAATCAAGATTAAATAGGAAAAATAACAAAAGAAAAGAAATAGAAAAGCAAAGAGAATGAGAGACAGTACATGTAGAGTTTGAATTTTATGAGACTAAATGTATATATGAAGCCAAGATAACGTATATTTAATTTTTAATAAGATTTAATTCCTAGTTTTTTGGAATTAGGTTGAATATATAGATAATTTCAAAGTAAAATTAGGAAACCGAATGAAATTGAAATCATAAGGCAATAAAATTGGCTTATCAATTGTTTAGACGGGATGAAAGAAAATGAAAGCTTAGAATCATGATAGGTGGCAAATACAGGGTCTAGGAAGATGTCATGTGGCACCTTAGAGAGGTTTTTGTTAGGAAGAGAGATTAGGAAGAGAAATTGATAGAAAATAATAATAATAATAATAATAATAATAATAAAATAATAAAATAATAATAATAATAATAATAATAATAATAATAATAATAATAATAATAATCTATCAATTTGCACAGTGATGATTTATAACATCAATTAAAGCCCTCATATGAAATTCATTGAATTTTATTTTGAGAGCCTTCAATTCCTCAACATTTCCATACCTAAAAGTAAGACGTCTTCTTTCTTATGAAAGTATTCATGGAGTTCAAATTATAAATATCCTTGGGCATCAGCTTTATGTAGGTGGGGTAGCCAAACTATGATAAAGTTAAGTGATGACAACTCAACAACTTTATCTTGTAGTTCTGAATACTAAGTTGTAGATTTATGTGATTCCCAATTGAATTTCTAACATAAAATTTCAGAAACTGAACTTGTTCTCGAACTTATTTAGAAATGGGGACTTGCTTCCTTGGATTCCGATTCCGAATTCTTTCTAAAAGATCGAAATGGAACTTCCAAAAAATGTTGTGGATTCTTTTGAATTGCCACCATCAGATTTCTGCAGCATTTTAAATAAGTGTCCCAAAGTCACTGATTTGATTGAAATATATTAGTTAATCAACTTGTTAGAAGTAACAAATGTGAATATGAAAGAAAATGAGAAACCTTATTTGGAGGATTTCCTCTTTGTAATTTTGGCCTCCTTTTAAAGAAAATATCAACATTGTACAAACCTGAAGTCAAGCATTGTTCAATTGAGATGAGGAATTTTATTCTTTAAGGAGATATTTGATATGCGATGTTATTAGATCCTAGAGTTTTTATGAAAGCATTCTGTCAAAACCTAACTTGTAGAACATAAACACCATACCTAGTTTTGAGGTGGAACTAAGGATAAATATTTCAATCAATGTGAACTTCTTGATATTGACCTGATAAAAACTTTTAATAAATCACGCTTATGCACTCTATTAGAACCAGAACCAAATCCTTGCTCCAAAAATAATTAAAAATAAATAGACATGTGTGTATGCGTGTTTTGGGTACCGGAGACAAAGAAATAAAGGGAAGACCTGATGTTGATTCATTGAGGCATTTTATCAAGCATTTGGCATGCATTGATGAAAATGCTAATCATACGAAGAGAACGAAATGGGTTGTAGTTATTTTTAAACCATTTATTATCTGCAACCTAACAACAATAAACGCCATAGCAACAAAAAACGATTAGAAAAATAGTGATCTGAAAACATGTAAACCTTATAAACATACCTTTAAGGAAGCCGTATGTGGGGTTCAGAAATCAACAATGAAGTTAGGAATCAAATCGCATTGTCTGATTCAAACCACAGTCACGGATTAAAAAAATAAAAGAAAAAAAATCTAAAAGTTCGACCTATACAATACAAAGTAGTATTATAGAAAACAAACCTAAACAAAATCCAAGAGAAACCCCCAAGAAATCAAACCTAATAAGTGTTATATTCTCCGTTATCGTCACTCCTCGATTGATTCTGCATATGCGTTGAGAGAGAGATTGTGGTGTCTCTGGATGGCGGCGACTACTACTGGTGGTAATTTCATGGTGGTCGTGGTGAAGAATAGTGGTGTTGGATGAGATTAACACTTTTCTTAGAGATAGAAAGAATGATAGTTGTAGATGGTGGATCTATAAGCCATCAGAGGGTTGGAAAATAAAATAAATGATGTGAAGTGCCGTTTTTGGATCCTTAAACCGATTGCAAGGATGGGAAGGTGGCTACAAACTTGACTGTAATTGGCATATGGAGGCAGACCATCGAGGCGGCCAAAAACATGGAACCCTTGCATATAGGCATATGTATATGAGAGAGATAAATGCTCAGTACGATTTCAAAAATGGCAAACGGGAATTTGAATTGAAAATATTGAATCCCAAAATTCATGGAATCAGTAAGGAAAGAGAGGAAGAAATCGTATAATCATGCTATAATCACGCATAGACAGAATCAATTTCAATTTTTGAGGGACGAATCTGGATGAAAGAATAGCGGGAAAAATAAATGATAAGATACTGCAGGAATGACACGTGGAAACAATGAGATCTATAAGGAGGACATATGGCATTTAAGGAGGTTTTTATTAAGCATGAAGAGATGAATATATATATATATATATATATATATATATATAAAACAGATAATTAGTTTTATGGAATTATTCAAGTGAAGGTTATACCATTTTTAGAGGATCTTCATGGCTACCTATCCTATGACTTAAAAATTTGTCACATATATATATATATATTAAATTTTAATTAATGTATCAAGATGCATCTAAAATGCTCTATAAAACTTCCTCATCTAATTAGTTGTTTTTTCAAACATGTATTATATCCAAAATATCATAAATAAACAACAGTATAAATACAACTATGTATAATCTTTATCTTCTATACATAAAATACAAAAAAAATAATACATCATAGTTATAAAAATAAAAATGGATTGAAAATGTTATATAACTGATGTAAGAATTATATTTAATAAATGAATTGTCATTAAGTATTTTAATAGAAATAATTAGTTAATAAATATATAAAAAATATTTAGTACTAAAATATAATTAAGGAGGTAAAATAAAATTTGGTTAAACAATAAGGGGTTAAATGTACTAAGCATCAAACTATATTAACTATTCAAAATATATGGAGAGATCAATAAAAAAAACAAAAAGCATATGTTCTCGGATGGTAAAAAATGGTCAATAAAAAAATCAAATATTAGTAACGTATAAAATAAACTCCCATCAGAGATGCTTTTAAAGATTGATCGTTAATCGTATGGAAGTTGGATTATTGAGTAAGAAAATTCAATATTATGTTCACATATATAAAAATAATCGACCTTTAAGAAAGAACTCCAAGGTGCTAGTTAGAAATTTAACCGTTTATATAGAGGTATTACTTTCTGAATTATTTTAACGGAATAATTCATTAGGATCGAAAATGGTCACGATCAAAGGCACGGATAGAAATTACTCAAGCTAGCTTCTTAAGGTGAGCACATGTGAATTTTCTCTATGGGATGCATGTCATAATAATAATTTTTGATTGAATGAACTTTTTGAACGAGTAAGTTAGTGTAATCAAATATTAAGTATTTTGGGAATATTTTGTACAACTATTTTGTGTTTGACTTGCATTTAGCTTTTTAGCTTTGTTAACCATGTATAGTCTTCGTATTTACATTGCCTTTCCCTTTCTTTGTAATTAACTTTTCCTTTCAATAATAAACCATAGCCATTTCTTTGTCTCTGATTATTAGTTTACACCAATATAGTTACATAAATACCTTTACATATTACAATATCCTCAAGAAAGAAACATAAATAGTATTTCATGTTTTAAAAGGAGAGATTAATACATTACTCTCTCCAAGTAATATCCATTTCTCCCCAGTTATCTTCGGATTCGGATACCCCTAAGGCTTTCCACACTGCTTTGGAAGCATCAACAATATTATTAGGGCAAGGTGGTTGATAGTCATGTTCATCATCGCACCCCATAGTAGAGTCACACTCATCCACAACCATTGCCTTTACACTCCTCCCATTTCCATTGATGGTAATATACTTGTGGCACCTATCCCCTCCCTTGTACCATCCAGTTGACAGTGCAACAACGGGTGTGTCATCAGAGTGGTATTGCTCATCACACTCCGATGGACCACCACCATCACCTCCCTCTTGGAAACTGTTTATCGTCAGTGTTGCTTTAGTATTACTTGTTACTGGAGGCGAGCATGTATATGTGGTGTAAAACTTACCTTGGATACAACAGTCCGAGTTGTTATCACCATCACATTCTCCTGAAGGCGGTCCTCTTCCCCACATACCACCACTTGGTGTGCAAGTCCGAGCATTCATCTCCAATGAAGTTGTTGCCAGCAGAACCAAGACTAGAAGAAAACGGAAACTCTTCATTCTCTCTTTGATTGGGTGAATCCCTGTGTTTACAGTGCTATTGGATGAATATCATTGCAATGGGATTGTGCTGATATATATAGCGTTTTGCTTAACAAAAGGCAAGATATTAGTCAAACGTTTTTTTTTTCTTTAATTTTTCTTTTTGGAACTCACAGATGTTCTTCTATGGCAATAATTTTTTTTGGACATACACTTTTCTTTTTGTGAAAATCAAGTAATTTTGAGTGCCATTTCAACTGATGTGCAAACACACTATAAAATTGTCCACTATGGTGTGTGTAATGGTTTATACAGTGTTGGACATTCACTTTTCCTTTTAAGAAAATCAAGTAAATTTGAGTGCCACTTTAACTGATGCACTAACATACTATAAAATTGTCCATTATGGTGTTGTGTGTAATGGCCTAGCTGTTGGACATTCACTTTTCCTGTTAAGAAAATCAAGTAATTTTGACTGTCATTTCTACCGATGCGCTAACATAGTAAAATACTATAAAATTGTCCACTATGGTGTTGTGTGTAATGGCTTATTGAAGATCCAAATGTTCTCCTATAATTGGATTAGAAGTAGATCTAAATGAGATAGGAATGTTGAATTAGTTGGGATTGTTGGTTTGTAGATCCAAAAACTCGTTTGTAATGATGTTTTCATGCAACTAGCAGTCTTGCTGGTTTGTGTTTTTTAATAAAATTCTTCTTGCTCCCGCCCCCGAAAAAAAAAAAAAAAAAAACAGTTTTGTCTCTGGTATGATGGTTGATTCTTAAGTATATATAAATTTGCAGTCTTGCTGGTTTGTAGATCCAAAAACTCGTATGATGGTATGTTGGTTTGTAGATCCAAAAACTCGTTTGTAATGATGTTTTCATGCAACTAGCAGTCTTGCTGGTTTGTGTTTTTTAATAAAATTCTTCTTGCTCCCCCCCCCCCCCCCGACAAAAAAAAAAAAACAGTTTTGTCTCTGGTATGATGGTTGATTCTTAAGTATATATAAATTTGCAGTTACTATTGGATTAACAGGGAAAAATGTTTTCCACTGATTTTGTAAAAAAAGTTCGTACTTTTACCAATCTAGCACTATATTTCTCTTGTATAATAACACACGGGTACAATATTGTTAATATATTTGATATTACTGCATAAATACATTATATTAATCATCCCTCCAAATAAACATAGCTTTGACAGCGGTATTACGTCTCAACACTTTGGTTCTTGCATCAAACTAAATGTACTAAGCACCCTTTCCCTTTTAATGGCAACATTGCCACATGGGGTGTTATTAATGCGGTTATTGATGAGTTTACTTTTTACAAGATATAGGTTTTTTGCCAACTGATCTTAATGAGAAGGATCATTGGCCAATACATGGATTCTATTACATAAGAGTTTCAGACTCATGTCATTCAGTCTTTGTGAGTTTACCTTTTGAAAAAGACGATCCTTGTGCTTTGCAATGAAAAGCATCTTGTCCAATTCATTACATCATGCGGGCCCAGGGAGAATGGCATATGGAGTTACCAATGGGTTAGAAAATCATTGCTTCTTGGAAAAAAAAAAGAAGTGAGACAAATAGTGTGAGGGAAGATGATGAGTTTATGATTATCGGATGTGATGGGATTTCGGATGTGGTGTCAAATCAAGAAGGTGTGGGTGTTGCGACTTCAGACGGGTGATAATGTTACTGCTATTGTGGTTTTGATTTGGTTAAATCGGGTCGAGTCTGTTACGAGTTCGGGGTGTGTTGTCTAATAGCATAAAGGGAATTAGAATGTGAAAATACATGATTTTTTATTATTGTGTTTGTGGTAAACTCTATTTGTAGGGATGCTTCATATGAGTTCGAAAAAGTACCCTAAAATTCTGTAGTGGAGTTGATCTTTTGATGAATGAATATCTTTATATGGGTTTGAATGGATAGTGGTGTTGATAAGTTTGGTGTGAACCTCTAGTCATTAGTATATATAGTTACATCAATACCTTTACAGATTACAATATCCACAAAAAAAAGAAACAGAAATATGTTTGATTTTTTAATAGGAGAGCTAGATTAACATGCATCACTCTGTCCAAGTAATATCCAAATCTCCCCAGTTATCCTCGGATACCCCTAAGGCCTTCCACACTGCTTTGGAAGCGTCAACAATATTATTAGGGCAAGGTGGTTGATAGTCATGATCACCATCGCACCCCATAGTAGAGTCACACTCATCCACAACCATTGCCTTTACACTCCTCCCATTTCCATTGATGGTAATATACTTGTGGCACCTATCCCCTCCCTTGTACCATCCGGTTGACAGCGCCACAACTGGTGTGTCATCAGAGTGGTATTGGTTGTCACACTCCGATGGACCACCACCATCACCTCCCTTTTGGAAACTGTTTATTGTCAGTGTTGCTTTAGTATCGCCTGTCACCGGAGGCGAGCATGTATACGTGGTGTAAAACTTACCTTGGACACAACAATCCGAGTTGTTCTCACGGTTGCATTCTCCTGGAGGCGGTTTTCTTCCCCGGATACCACCACTTGGTTTGCAAGTCTGAGCATTGATCTCCAATGAAGTTGTTGCCAGGAGAACCAAGAACAGAACAAAACAGAAATTCTTCATTGCCTTTTAGAATTTAGATGTTGCTAGTTACTCTTTACAATGCTGCTGGATGAGTAGCAAGGCAAATGGGTTGTGCTAATATAGCCTTTTGCTTAACAGAAAGCCAAGTTAACAGTCAACAATGATGTAGTTTTTTTCAAGTGACAGATGTTCCTCTACGGCAATAAAACATTCTTTGGATATTAACTTTCCCTTTTAAGAAATCCAAGTAATTATGAGTGCACAGACGTACTACAGTTTTGTCCATTATGGTGCATGTTGTGTCTAATTTTGTCTCATTGTTGATTTATAAATTATATCTAAAATTACAGCCACTATTCTTTTATTTGCGGAAAATATTTTACATTGATACTGTAAAAATAATAGTTTCAAACTTGTACTAATATAGCCGCATATTTGTCTTGTATACTACACATGCAGGTAAAAGCATGTTAGTATAATTGATACTCCATATTACTTAATTAGTACGTATCATTATTCATCATTCCACATAATTAATCATGACCTTATCATATTAAGTTTTAACGCTTTGGTTATTCATCACTATATATCAAGCTGTACGTATACATTTGGTACAAATATAGTAGAACAATTGACATTAAGAATCCTTTGGCTATTATTCCGCAATTAACCACACGTAGGATTCGATGAAAGTTGATACGTGCCGTTGACATGGTCCGGTTTACTAATCAATTTACAATATTTGAAAATTTGATTCCAACGTATGTTTTAAAAACTGTTTTGAACCGTCCGGTTGAACCGGTTGGACCGAGAACCATGGGAGAGAATGGTTCAACTATCACCGATTTTATGTGAATTTCTGAACCGGATTGAACGGTTGGTTTGTAGAAAAACTCGGTTGAACCGGTTAAAACGAATAAAAATACATGGAAAAGAACCATTTGCACAATAAACGTTGGTTATTTTTTTCAAATTTATTAGTTTTCTCTAAATAAAACATATGGTAGATGTTATAAAGTTTTTGATTCGTATATATATATCTAAAACTATATTTTGTTTTGGTATTATATTTTTTTTGTTATTACGTATATGGATTGATGTAAAACACTCAAACTTATATATATATATATATATATATATATATATATATATATATATATATATATATATATATATATATATATATATGTATGTATGTATGTATGTATGTATGTATGTATGTATGTATGTATGTATGTATATGTATATATATAATGTTTGAACTTGTAAACGTCAAATTTAGTATGTATATATGAATGTTCGAATAGAAAAATATGAAAATTATAGCAACTGGTTAACCCGGCGGTCGAACCGGTTGAATTGAAACCGAACACCGTACCGGTTCTACTACAAAACCGGTTTTTTGACATTGATTCCAACTTCTTAGTTACCTTGTAATTATCTTTCTATCTCTATCATCTATGTTTGTGCTAGTGAATTCATATATTTGAGTGTCTTTAAATATCACGGTTCGATTCTAACTTTTTATACGAAAGTAGTGTAAAAACTTGTCCTGATACTATTTCACCTTACCTTACACCATTTTTTGCACTAAAACTATATCCCATAGCAAATTCCATTTTTTGGATTTATATAGATTGTCAAAAGTATCATTTGGATTATTAGCTTTCAATATATCTATTTACATTTTTTGTGTTATATAAGCTTAATAAAATATACCCAGCTACATTATTACTTCAAATTATTTTAATCTTTTAAAATGACAATTGATAAATAAAATAATTACATTCGAAATATAAGAATAAGTTGTGGATGAGTGTGACACAAATAAATTGTATTAATTTGTTTAATAACGACATTTGATATATAGTAGAATTGTGTCGGACTGAAGAACAAAATGGTTGCCAACGGATTGTTGTGGATTGCTAGAGTGGGAGTAGAGTTGATGGTGAATCTAAAAAGAAAAAATAAATAGAAATTAGAAAAGTACAAAATAATCTATTAAGGATAATATTCTCTTTTTATGTTCCGTAGGAAACGTATAGTTTTATAATAGAATATCAAAAAGATAGTCTAGATGCAAAAGAACAAAAAACATTAAATATATGAACAAATTACAAATGTAGCAATTTTGACCAAACGAATTAATATAGTTCAACTATATATATCCATGATACACTCAAAACCGTTAACTTATATATACATAGTTACATTGATCTACATTCCCACAACAAACTCTAACTTCACTAAATTTTGTTTAATGATTCAGATCCCTAATTTCAATCAAACAAATTCTTACTTAATACACATGTCTTGTTTGTTTTGTTTTTGAATTTCAGTATCAATATCCCAACTATCCACTGTGAAATTTAGGGATACCCTTCACGACATTATGTTCCGGTGTAATTCTAGATTTATTCAGATTTCATTAAACTGATTATGTTCAAATTTCAATATCAATTCCCAACCATCCATGTGTGAAGTTTTTGAATACCCTATAATACATTAAGTTCCATTGTAAGTTTTGATTAATTCATAATAATAAGCTATATTTGATTGAATAGGGATGTGGCTTTTCTCTATTTATATGAGTATTTCATGAGTTTTGATTGGATTTAAGTTGAAGGCTTGTGTTTGAAGGTAAAGAACACTTTCATGTTATTTTCTCTATAA